CAGTGACATTTCCTTGAGTAGGATAAACTACCTGGCCTTCTTGTTAAAAAAGAGAAAAGTAAGAAAACAGGGAAAAAAAAAAAAAAAAAAAAAAAAAAAGAGAAAAGATTGCAAAGTAATAAAGGCGAGAAGCTGCAGGGCTGAGCGTCTGCGAGTGGCCCGGGAAAACAAGGGCAGCTCTGAAATCGAGTCCATCAGGAGGGAGATTAGCGGTGCCGATGAATAAAGATAAACGTCCCGGAGCAGCTCCGGCCGCGCTGCTTTGTCTCTCCCACCTCTGCGCTTCCCCCAGGAAAGCTCGCCCTGGAAGGGGCCACGAGAGCGCTGCCAAAATCCGCAGCCCGGTGGCTCCGGAGGAGCCGGTTCCATTCAGCAGCTCGGCTATAGAGTGGCTCGATCTGTCTGTACAATCACAACACGCACAAAAACCCCTCCAGGCACCTACTTAGCTGCACTTTTCAGCTGCCAAGAACGCTCCCGGCAAAAGTCAAAAGAGCAGCGCCGCGGCCGCGTCCTTCCCCTGTCGCTCAAAGGCGTCGGGGTTGCGAGGTTCCGAGATAACAAAGTCTGGCTCAAGAAATCCTGGATGCCTTTCAAGAGCGTTATTCGCTCCTGTGAATGGGGCTGGCGAAGGGGAGGGGGCAAACCCCACTCCCCCTCCACCCCGCCGGAGGTTCTCCCGAGCTGGGACACGCCAGCAGGAGCACAGAGGGATGAGGAACCCCACGGGGAGTTCAGGAGGAACCCCACGGGGAGTTCCTCCCCACTCGTGCCAGATTTCGTGTTGGCAAAACCGAGAATGGAAAGTGAAGTTTGGTCTCTGAGAGTCTCGGAGCTCTGGGCTGGCTCTGCAGGGCCAGAGGATGCTCGGTGGGGATTCCAGCTCCTCGCGTCCCTCTGGCTGCAGGGGGACAATCGCTAGACATCCCATAGTGCTTTTTAATACTTCTGCTGCAAAGGGTATGAAAATAGGGGATTTTTTACAATTCCTACAACCCCGCTGCGTGCACTGCCAGGGCTCGGTCCCAAGGGACGTGGGGTGGAAGGAGCCTTGGCCCAGCACCATTCCTGCCTCAGCCTTCCTTTGGCCCTTGGAAAAACAGGAAAAAACCAGGATGGAGGAGAGGGCCAGGGATCCCAGATCACACAGGGAAACCCGAGACAGGGGAAAAACCCACTGACACCGAGCCATGGTGCCACAAAGCTTTGGGGACACAAAGATGGGGACCAGGAGACCTCTCTGGATGGGCTGCGTGGGGCTCAGAGCTTTGCACAGGATTCCCTCAGAGCTGAATTCCCTTTCGTGCAAGCCAGGCCCCTCTCCCAGCACCGCCAGGCTCCCCAAAGCTGCTGCTCCCCTCCTCTCCTGCCTCCATCCCCCCAAAAGCTGTGCCAAAGGCAGCCGGAGCCGCCGGGACCTCTGCGTGGGAAGCAGAGCGGCTCGGGCATCCCAAAAGGGAACAATCCCATGCCAGGATTCTGCTAGGCCCCCAAAACGCCCCCAGTGGAGCAGAGCAGTGCCCCAGGAGAGCCCCAGCCCCAGCAGACAAGGGGTGACCCCGTCCCAAACGTCCCCTGTGAGCCCAAACCCGCTCCCCCCACACCGAGGGGGTTCCTCAAACCCCTTCACCCCACAAATGCTGTTTTCCTCCATGCCCACGGGCACAGGCAGGACCCCCCACACCTTCCTTCACAGGCACTCCGAGGTTTGCAGTGGATTTCTGAACATCACCCCAAAGTGCTCGGATTCAGTTCAGCTTTTCCCATTTGTCCTCACCTACATTCCCAAATATCAAACACAGTCCCAGGCTCCCAAAGGGGACCCCCCCCACACCCAGCAGCACGCCAGCATCACCTCTTCTTTCTTATTTAAGTTTCCTTCAAGCAGCACTGAGTGCCAAAAAAATTAAAATTGTGTTTTGCTTGAGGAGAAAACATCCCATCATGCTTGGATCAGCCATTAAATCATTTACGCTGCAGCCTCAAAAAGGTGTTTAATCTTCTTAGAATTAGCTAAAGCTGTAGTAACTCAAGGAATTCTGTAGGAGATGCTTTTGCAGAACATTTTCCTTTCACTACTACTACTACAAAAAAAAAAAAAAAAAGGGCTTTGGGCCATTTCAAATTTAAATTAAATAAAACAATCCAGTAAGAATAAATTATTTCAGTCAGTGACTTAAAACAAACTACTCATCACCCACGAGGAGATGCTCCTGCCAGGGCAGGGAAATCACTACGGGACGGAGCTACTAAGAAAGAACAAAATAATTCTGGAGTGATACTTCCAAGGGAATTCTTTTTCCACATTTACTCAAAACAAGCAACAACCTACAGGTGCCTTCGGGCCAAATATGCTGGCGTGAGAAGCAGTTGGTGTAATTTCGGTTTCCTAGCAAGTTCAAATATTTTAAAAATGTTTACACCACTTTGGAGATATCCATAGGAAAAACCCGATTTTCTGTCCAACTTCTCTTTCCCTCCACTCCAGCACATCCCAGCTTTAAACATTTAGCTCTGTCTGGCTTTGCCGAGGATAAAATCCCTCGGTACTGCGAGGTCTTGTGAGAAGACAAAACAAGAGGCAGAGAGGAGAGGAAGCGAAGGGAAATAGTTGTGTGTGTGATTAAAACCACACTTTATGCAGCGTTCAAGTAAAACATCTCCCGATTTCTGCCTCGCCCCGGAGGATGCGGATTCTCCCCAGCCCAGAAAACCTTCGCCGCTCCATTTCTCCAAATTTACCACAACCACATGCGAGATCATCTCGAAACTGGTGTCAGGCCAAGCTCCCTGCAAGCACTTCCAGCACTAAAAACGCGCAGCAGGGCCGCCCAAAGGAAGATTTGATTTATTTCTGCGACTCTCCGCGCTCCGTCCCGCGAGCCTCGCCGAGCGATATGAGAGCGCTCGATCTTCCCCGCGTTAATGATGCTCTCGCAGTCATTAAAGTCCCGTTCTGCCAAGCCGGAGCCGGCTCGCAGTCCTCACCCCCCCCCAAAAAAAAAAAAAAAGATGAGTGCTCATCATTATTGCTCCTCGAGCAGCGCGGAGCCGAGCGGAGGAACGAGCTCATAAATCAGGGGGATATTCGTGCAGCCGTAAAAATAAGCGCCGCTACTTAACTGGGTTTTGAAGGTGTGTTAAGTCGTAACTTTACAGCCCAGATGTGGGCTCGGAGAGCTGAAAGTCTGCGGGTAAAATTACCACTACAATTACTCTTTCCATTAAACACGCTGATTTTTCCCAGGTTGTTGCTTCGGCGAGGGTTGGGAGGCTGCAGCCTCCCCCAAAAGACGGAGAGAAACGCGGTATTCCCGCGGGGAGCAGGGGCTGGCCAGGCAGGAAGGACAGGGAGAGCTACTCCTTTTATGATTTTCAGATGTTTCCCCGGGAACACCACGGCGCTTTCATACATCGACAACGTTTGGATTGCCTTCAGAATTAACGGGGCAGATTCCACCCCCGGCTTCAAGGGACTTAGCGCTCCCGACTCCGCTTGGCCCGGCCGCTCTGGAGCTGGCCAGGAGACGCGGGTTTAATACACTCCACATGCACAGTAGCTGCTCTTCCGAATGTTTTATCGCCTGAACGGCTCAATCCCATCGAAACCCTCCAAAAAAAAAACAAAAAAAACCTTGGATCACTGCAGCTCTGCCCTCTGCCACAAACCCACCGAGGATCCCACGGATTCCCCCCTCGCCCGCTCAGGAGCAAGCCCGAGGTCCTCGCTTATTTATGTTTTTTTTTTTTAGAAACCACACGAATAAAACAATTCCTAAAGGAGCCCAGTGGGCAAACGGGGGCGCGGCTGGGGGGATAAAGCGCTAAAGGTTAAAATCGCGACGCCCGGGGAGCGAAACGAGCACATTTCTGCTGCCGGCTCCGTCCCTGGCCGGGCGGGATGCGGGATGGGAGGCGCAGGGACAGGGAGGAAAACGGGGACAAGGGGACAAGGGGAGCGCTTTTCACACTGCAGCAGCCCAAAAGCAGCCGCCAGCCCCTTCCCCAGCCCTGGCGGGGGTCGGGGCTGCCGCCCCCCGCTCGTCCCGCCGGGGACCCGCACCCTCCCCCGGCCCCCGTTTCTCTGCCGGGACCCGCCTGTTGCGGAGCCGGTCCGGGCAGCAATTACCGCATCTCCGCGCTAATTACCGACCCCCTCAATCACCCCCCACCACCACCACCGCCTCCTCACCTGTACCAGCGCAGCCCCTTCTCGTAGCACCTGTCGAAGAAGTGGGGCTCGGCACCCACCGCCCGCACCCCGGGGTGCGCCCGCAGGAACTCCAGCAGCGCCCGCGTCCCGCCCTTCTTCACGCCCACGATGATGGCCTGGGGGAAGCGGCGGCTGCCGCCCCCCGAGGAGCCCCCGGAGCCCCCCGAGGAGCCCCCCGAGGAGCCCCCCGAGCCCCCCGGCGCCGCGGGCAGCGCGGCGGGCGGCGGCCGCAGCAGCGCGGGCGGCAGCGGCTCGCAGGGCCCGGGCAGGCAGGAGAAGAAGTAGGTGAAGAACAGGATCATGGTGAGGAGCAGCGAGGCGCGGCGGCCCCCGGCGGCTCCCAGCAGCCGCCCGCTACATCCCATCGGGGGCCGCGCATCCCGCGCCGCCGCCGCGCCCCCCTCGGCGCTCCCCGAGCCCCCCACGCCCACCCGCGGGGCGGGGGAGGGCGAGGAACACGCGCGTGGGGCGGTGACGCCCCGAGGAGGGGAAGGGAGGGGAAGGGAGGGGAGGGAGGGGAGGGAGGGGATTGGGAAGGGGCGCGGCACACGCGGGATCCCCGCGGGGACAGACCCGACCCCCCCTCCCCACTCCCACGCGTGGCCGCCACCCGCACGGGGCAGCGCTCCCGGCCCTGCCACACAGGGGACACGTCGCCCCACATTTCCCTGTGTTCTCACGTGTTTTCCCTGTGTTTTCCTTTTTCCCCCCACGTTTCTGCTGGTTTTTCCATGTTACCCCACATTTCCCTGTGTTACTCCATGTTTTCACTTTTCCCCCACATTTCCCCTATTTATTTCCCCACGTCTCCCTATTTTCTCACATTTCCCCCATTTATTTTCCCACATTTCCCCTATTCATTTTCCCACATTTCTCCCTATTTTCCACCATTTCCCCTATATATTTTCCCACATTTCTCCCTCTTTTCCCACATTTCTCCCTCTTTTCCAACATCTCCCCTATTTATTTTCCCACATTTCCCTTATTCATTTTCCCACATTTCCCTTATTCATTTTCCCACATTTCCCCTATATATTTTCCCACATTTCTCCCTCTTTTCCCACATTTCTCCCTCTTTTCCGACATCTCCCCTATTTATTTTCCCACATTTCTCCCTATTTCCCCACATTTCCACACATTTCCCCGTGTTTTCCCATATTTTTACCGCGCTTCCCCGTGTTTCCACACGCTTCCCACGTTTCCCTGTGTTCTCACACGTTTTCCCGTGATTTCCCACATTTCTCCATACTTCACCACTTTTTCCCATCCATTTTTCTCCCTCCCTGTATTCCCTGCCCCTCTCACCATTCCCGGGGCTCCTGTGGGTGTTTTTGGGGTCCCACTCCAGCAGTAGAGCAGGATCCCAGGCAGGCACCAGTGTGGTGTCTTAATTAGCAAATTAACGTAATTAACTCTCTTTAGAATGGAACTCCCGGGTTTTCCAGGAGCTGCCGAGTGGGGGGACGGGGATCCAGGGCCTGGCACGGGGAGGGGACAGCAGGGCTGGACTGGGGTCCCTGAAAATCCTGTAGGGCCACAGTGGGGACTTGTAGGATGGCAGCGCTGCAGGGGGACAGGGGGACAGGGCTGGGGGCTGACAGGGCTGCAGGGTGACACTGGGACAGGATGGCAGGGTGACAGGGCTGCAGGGTGACGCGGTCACAGGGTGACACGGTCACAGAGTGACAGGGTCACAGAGTGACACAGTGAGAGGGCTGCAGGGTGATGCAATCACAGGGTGATGTGGTCACAGGGTGACACGGTGACAAGGCTGCAGGGTGACACAGTCACAGGGTTGACACGGTGACAAGGCTGCAGGGTGACAGGGTCACAGTGTGACACGGTGACCAGGCTGGACATGGTGACCAGGCTGCAGGGTGACACGGTCACAGGGTGACAGGGTTACAGGGTAGCAGGGCTGCAGGGTGACCGGGTCACAGCGTGACAGGGTGACACGGTGACATGGTGACACGGCTGCCTGGCTGCAGGGCTTTGTGCCCTCTCGTGGCTGCCTCTCGGGCTGCTGGAGCTCACGGAGGGACGGACAGGGACAGACGGGATGGACAGGGATGGATGGACAGGACGGACAGGGACAGATGGACACGGGCCGGAGCAGCCTGGAGCCCTCCCAGCGCCCAGGGAGCAGCGTGGCACCGCGGCGGCTGCCGGGGGTGCCGAGGTTTGGGCTGGGCATTGCCCGGCCCGGGGCTGCAGTGCTTTGTGACTCTGAGCTGCGTGTGCCAGCAAGTTCCCTCAGGCACACGGAGCAATCCTTCTCCAGCCTCACCAAAGACAACCATCACAAGCTTGTCCAGGCCCAAAAAGCAGAAACAACGGGGAATTAAAGAGAGAAAAACAAGGAGGACCTTCACTACCTAAAGCTATAATTGAACAATGAACCCCAAAATGCAAACGGACCAAAACTTACAGAAGCAGAGGGAGACCTCGTGCATTTTTGGGACCATTTTGGTTCATCTTGTGTGCGGCCCTGGCCGGGCTCTTGCAGTGCCCAAAGTGGATCCACGGAGGCCTTTGGATAAATCCCTGCTTTATTCTGTAACTCTGCTCCAGCTCAGCCTTCTGCAGGCTCACTAGCGGAGCAGCTCCCTGAGCACAAACACACCCACCCGTGCCACCCGCCAGCCCGGGCGCCTCTCCGTGAGCCATTGGAAACAGGAGCTGCTCCAGCTCCCTGTTTGCCTTGGGAGGGGGAATGTTGCTCTTGGAAAATGCCAACTTGTCCAAATGGAAACGTTTGGCAGGAGCAGACCCGTCCGGAGAAAATCCTGTCCCAGCGCAGCCAGGGAGACTCCAGGAGGGTGGGAGGGGGGAGCAGGGCACCCACCCTCCTCGCCCTGGCAGGGCTGGTGCCACGGCGCCTCTTGGCACCGCCAGCTCCCCGCTGTGCAGTCAGAGGCTTCCTTTCTCACCTCCAAAATTTGGGAAAAAGGCTCAGAACACGAGTCTGCGGTCAGGGCCAGGCGCCGAGGGCTTGGGATGTGCCCAAGGTCACCCCAGCCCCGTGTCTGGAAGAGTTTGGGGCCCCTGCAGGAGGGTCCCTGGACTCAGGCCAGACCCCACCAGACAGACAGCTCAGGCAATGGAGGATGAGCAGCTCACATGCAAGCTTTTAGCAAAATCGGGGCATTTGGGTTGAAATAAATGAGTTGTGCAACGTTCTCCCTGTGTCTGGTGGCCCTGGCTGGCAGTGGCCACGCTCACAGCTCCGTGGCCACCCCGGGGTGGCCGTGCCAGGGCCTCGCCAGCCTCGACTGTCCCCACTGAGGCACAGCAAGGGTTCTTCTCCCCTCCCGGGGTCCTGGCAGGAGTGAGCAGCCCCTGGGCAGCCCCAGGGCCGGGCTGGTGGCCCGGCAGCTCCCTGGGAGCTGTGGCCACCGGGCGGGAGATGCTCCATGGAGGAGCGAGGCCAAATCCTGGCCAGAGCAGCGGGATCAGCTCTTCCCATAAACCCCGACCCAGGAGAAGTGACGAGCGCCACCAGGGCACAAACCCAGCGGCATCAGCACAGCACCACCCCAAAACCAGCAGCGTGGGACCCCTCTGATGCCCCCAGCACTGTCACCTCCTCCAGACCCCCCCTGTGCCCACCAGCGCGGGCAGGCGGGAGCTGCTTTGGGATTTGTGGGGTTTCCCCGGGTTTGTTGTTCCAAAGAGAGAAAGGAAAGGGCTCGGGGGGATGAAAAGCGCTTTAGGAACACGGGGATCATTTGGCAGGTCACCTCCGCGGCGCGGCTTGCGGGGCTGATAAAGGCGAGCGAGCTTCCCAGGGGCGCGCACAGCTTGATTGGGAGCGGCGGCAATTAGCGCGGCCGGTCCAATCCAATTAGCGCGGCACAAACACGGCCCAGCCAGAAAAGGCAGCTCGGGGAGAGGAAACCCCATCCCCAGGGATGTCCCCCCGCCATCCCCAGGGATGTCCCCAAAGCCCCGCCAGGTCACCCCCGCTGTCCCCACCTCGGGCTCATCCACACCGGGATGTCCCCAGGAGGTTTGGCAGTGCCACCACCCTGCTCTTGTCCCATCCGGGGGCTCTGCAAAGGCTTTGAAAAGGTTTTTCCCCAAGATTTTTTTTTTTTTTATCTGCTGGGTTTTATGGGGAAACCACCAGCAACGTGACGGTGCCGGGGGATTTCTCCCAGTCCTGCAGTGGGGAGAGGCAGGGTGGAGAGGGAAAATTCCAGGTGGGACCATCAGGGCTGTGCCAGAGCTGCTGACAGAACCAGGAGCAGCGAGGAGGAGGAATGGGTCACAGCGCAGCACGTGGAGCTGATCCCACACCCCGTGCCCATCACCTGGGGCCACCAAAAATTCACCGGCCAGGATTAAAAGCCAAGCCACAAGGGCAGCCAGGCCCCGAGGGGCTGGGCTGGGCTCGGGGGGCTGAGCCCCAGCCCCAGCAGCAGCTCCGAGGGGTTGGCTCCAAAATCCTGGCAGGCCGCCACGGCTGGGGTGGAGCCCGGCCCCTGTTATTAAAATGTGTGACAGCAGCTCAAGATGGAAAGTGAAGTTGTACATTCTCCATCTGAAACTCCGGGAGGAATTTCAAGCAGGGGAATGCAATTTCCAGCCTGGAGGAGAGCCAGCAGCGCCAGGGCGAGATTTTTCTTAATATGGTTTCGCACAACTCCCAACACAGAAAAATTGCCCGTGGCTACAGCGATTTTGGGGAGCTGCAGACGGCCCCGTGCCACGAGGAGGAGCAAAACCAGCCCCAGCTCCAGCAAGCTGCTGTCCCTGTCACCAGCAGGAGCTTTGGTCACCTCAGCTCCCCGTCCCCGCGGGGGTTTGGGGGCTCAGCCTGCCTGGACAGCACAACCCCACTGCCCCAGCAGCACCCCAGGAGGGAGAATTTGGCTCCAGCAGCCCAAGAAGGATTTGGGGACACCATCTGCGTGCTGTCCTGATGGAGTTTGGGACAGTGACCTGCAGGACCACGGGAGCCCCGGGTGGCTCCAGCAGCCAGGGTTGGATCCCATCCAGCTGGAGCCACAAAAGGAGCCTCCCCCCAATTTCTGCTTTTGATTTAAAATCGTCCCAATAAAGGGCTAAGGCAGCCAAAACCCACTGGTTTGGGGTTTTATTTTTTTTTTCAAGCTTCAATTTGAAAAATAACCTCCGTGAAATGTGCAATTTTTATTGGGGCAGGCAGAGCCACAGAGCTGAGAGCAAACGCCATCCCTGGGACTCTGTCCCGGCCCTGCCCTGAGCCCAGTCCCCTCCTCGTTCCCCATTTTACACCCCCTGGGAGCAGTAATTCCCTCCGTGGTGCCCTCCTGGGTGGGGACACGGGAGCGACACAGATTTCACCTCATCCCGGGAGTGAGAAAGTCTGGGATGGGATGGC